GCGGCGGGGACCCGTAGAGGCAGGGTAAGGGGAGTGGGGGGGCAGCCGTCGGGGGAGTGCAGACTCAGGCCCAAGGCGGGTCACCGCCTCCTGGGCCCGCGGAGAGTCCCGGGCCCCGGCAGCCATTGCGCCCAAGAGTGAAGAAGATTTGCTGGCCCTGGCCGCGTCGCGGCTGAGCCGCCGCAAGAGGGTGGCGGGTGCGGCCGTCGGGGTGGCCATGGTGCTGCTGCTGCTGGTGGCCATCCCGCTGCTGGTGCACAGCTCCCGCGGGCCAGCGCACTACGAGATGCTGGGTCGCTGCCGCATGGTGTGCGACCCGCATGGGCCCAGAGGCCCGGGCCCCGACGGCGCGCCTGCTTCCGTGTCCCCCTTCCCGCCGGGCGCCAAGGGAGAGGTGGGCCGGCGCGGGAAAGCAGGCCTGCGGGGGCCCCCGGGACCACCAGGTCCAAGAGGGCCCCCTGGAGAACCCGGCAGGCCAGGCCCCCCGGGCCCTCCCGGCCCAGGTCCGGGCGGGGTGGCGCCTGCTGCAGGCTACGTGCCTCGCATTGCTTTCTACGCGGGCCTGCGGCGGCCCCACGAGGGTTACGAGGTGCTGCGCTTCGACGACGTGGTGACCAACGTGGGCAACGCCTATGAGGCAGCCAGCGGCAAGTTTACTTGCCCCATGCCAGGCGTCTACTTCTTCGCTTACCACGTGCTCATGCGCGGCGGCGACGGCACCAGCATGTGGGCTGACCTCATGAAGAACGGACAGGTGAGATGCCCCTCCCCCCAACCAGCTCAGACTGGTCGCTCTCTAGATGTCCCTGCACTCATCCCACAACCTGAGATTATTCCCCCAAAAGGCGTCACTGAATCCAGGAACATGAGGCTGCCAAGAACGATAGACGGCTTCATTTAGCCACAGAGGAAATTGGGGGCCAGAGAAGGAAAACCTCCTGCCTAGGGCCTCAGGGAGTGTAGGAATGGTGTTAGAATTAGAACTCAGGACTCAAACCTGAGTGTCTCTGCAGCTGCGACCTCACATTGCAACTATGGGCAACATCAGATGTCTTTGGTGTCTGGCCCTGCCAACTGGCCTCTTTTCTTGTCCCGTCTTGGGCTATCCTTTCTTCCGCGGCAGCCCTCCTGGCCTTTAGGTCTCCCAGCCTTGCATTGGACCAGCTAACTGGAGTCTAGACTCCTTCGAATTAGAATGGAATCCATGTCTCAGGCAATAGGAAGTCGGCAGCTGTTCTCAAGTTGGGGGCATTTGGGTTGGATGTTTGAGGAAAAGGTATAAAAGGAAGAAAACATTAGCTTGCTCACTTCACCTGCCGATCAGTTGTCCTATTGCTCACCCCAGGGCTGGGGGCCTAGAACAGCCTTGCCCTCAGCTGAGTCTGTAGCCTGGCAGCTCAAGGGTCAGCCAGGTGGCTGGAATGAATGGATTTGAGGGAGGAAAGAGGCAAGGGACAGGTAGAAAAGCCTTGGACCCTAGCCTGGTCTTGTAGGCCCCACACCCTCCCTAGCAATCTCTCAGTATCCAGGTTCCGTGGTTCCCTGCCTTTGTGGGCAGTTGGAGTCACTGTTGCCTCTGTTTTCGGGGAATAGCCCCAAGGACTAAGCTCTAGCACCAAAATTTCACATAAAGTGGGAACTAGAGGCCACAGGTGTGGGGTAGGTGGGAGAAGGTGCCAGAGCTGCGCAGGCCGCAAAGGGAGGTTGGGGCTGAGTGGTGACCTCAGGATGTCCCGCATGAAGGGAGTGGTGGCTACCCAGGAGCTTCAGCCTGCGGGAGCCTGGTACCGCGGCAGCGTCTACCTGCCCCCAGACCTGCTTTGGGGTCTCATCCCAGCAGGGCTGCCCCAGGAACCCGGGGAAAGGGAGTGAGTGTGCGTCCTCATGGAGTGAGAGAATATATATGTGTATCAGGGAGTGTGTGTGACTGCGGAGTGCAAAGATGTTGAAAGTGGAGAGGTGTCTATCTGCATATAACACCGAGTAGGTGTGCTTTGTCTATGCGGGGTATCTGGGAGGAGGTGGAGGGGGCCAGTGTGTAACTAATTCGTGCGGGTTTCAGAGGGGGAGGGGACCGCGCAGCTCCCACTCTGTATTCTTCGGTGCAGGCGCTGCGGCCCTGGGGACGGTAAATAGTGATTAGAATAATGATGAATAATTAATGAGTTAATAACCAGCCCCTGTGGGACTCTCTAGAAGAGGGGGGCTGGAGGCCCAAATCGACCGCCATGAGCCCAGAGGGGAGGAAGGGCCCCCTGTTCTGGCAGAAGACGACCTCCCCGCGCCTGGGCACCAGCCGGTGCTCGGTCGGGAAATCCACGCCCACAGGCGAGAGGGCAACAGTGCATCTCAGCATGGCCTGCACTCTGTGGCACACGCACAGGCACACCTATGCTCCACCACTGGGGAAGCCAACCCTCCGTGAGGACTGACAGGAGGTCCAAGTCGGTTCAGAATTTTAGAAATTATCCTATAGGCAAATTTTTATTTTATTTTATTTTTTATTTTTTTGAGACAGAGTTTCGCTCTTGTTGCCCAGGTTGGAGTGCAATGGCGCTATCTCCACTCACCGCAACCTCTGCCTCCTGGGTTCAAGCAATTCTCCTACCTCAGCCTCCTAGTACCTGGGATTACAGGCATGCACCACCACGCCCAGCTAATTCTGTATTTTTAGTAGAGACAGGGTTTCTCTATGTTGGTCAGGCTCTTCTCAAACTCCCGATCTCAGATGATCCGCCGACCTCGGCCTCTCAAAGTGCTGGGATTACAGGTATGAGTCACCGGGCCTGGCCGGCCAATTTTATTTTTTAAATGACAATAGTAATTTGAAAATGCATTAAAAATAATTTAGGAATGGAAACCACTGAGCCAGATGCGGTGGCTCACGCCTGTAATCCCATTACTTTGGGAGGCTGAGGTGGGTGCATCACCTGAGGTGAGGAGTTCGAGACCAGCCTGGCCAACACAGTGAAACCCCGTCTCTACTAAAAATAGAAAAAATTAGCAGGGCGTGGTGGTGGGCGCCTGTAATCCCAGCTACTAGGTAGGCAGAGGCAGGAGAATAGCTTGAACCCGGGAGACGGAGGTTGCAGTGAGCCGAGATCGCGCCATTGCACTCCGGCCTGGGCAAGAAGAGCGAAACTCCACCTCAAAAAAAAAAACAAAAACAAAACAAAACAAAAAAAAACCCACTGTTCTGAACACACTTCACACGTAGTAATTCACTTAATCCTAACACCCTATGAGGTGGGTTCTATTATTATCCTTCACTTTATAGATCAATTTGAGGTCCAGAAAAGGCGTGGAATTTGCTCCGCGTCACACAGCCAGTGAATGGCAGCGCTGGAGCAACTCCGCGATGTCCTACCCTCCTTCCTGGTCCTCCCCAGCCCCTGCGGCGGCTACGCTGCCGCCTTCGCACGCCCAGCCGCCCCGACCCCTCCCGTCACCCCAGCTCCACACCGAGCATGAGGGGGTTCTTCTCCCTCGATAGGTCCGGGCCAGCGCCATTGCTCAGGACGCGGACCAGAACTACGACTACGCCAGCAACAGCGTCATTCTGCACCTGGACGTGGGCGACGAGGTCTTCATCAAGCTGGACGGCGGGAAGGTGCACGGCGGCAACACCAACAAGTACAGCACCTTCTCCGGCTTCATCATCTACCCCGACTGAGCTGGCCCCGCCCTGTGCCCCCGTTCACGCCTTCTCTCCCGTCCTCACCCACCTCCAGCCCGCCCCACCCGAGGCGCCACCCCACCCTTTGAGAGCCTGGTGGTGGGGTGGACCCTCCCGTTCCTGGAGGCGGCCTAAATGGGCGAACTCTTGGTGCTCAAGGGTATAAGTGGCCGGAAAGAGGAGGAGACCCGGCCGGAGGAGCAGAGCGACTTCCGGAGGGATCACCCGCACCCAAGTGCGCGCTGGACCCCAGAGGGGCAGAGGTCGTGGCTCTCTCATTTGTACAGAGATGGGGAGCAGTTTTACTAGCGGGATTCAGAGGCCCAGAAAGCCGGAGGGAAGCCCCGCAGCTTGCGAGGGAAATAACAGAAACAGGAGGAGCCCATTTAGGCAAGAGAAGACATTAAGACAGGGTAGTGCAGGTTCGCCGTCACGACAACTTTCTCTCGCCACCCTCTCCTCCCCTCATCTCCACTTTCAGGCTCAGGCTCCAGCCTTGGCAGCCTTCTGTGAACTGGAGGAACCAGTGAATTCTTTCCTGGCATTTAAAACGCATTCTGTACAGTCTCCATTCCCCCCATCCGGACTAGGCCCCAGGGCTACAGCTGCTGCTGCCTCGTCCAATAAAGTGAGGTTGGGGGATTGTGTGTGGCTGCTTAACTTGGTGCATAGACTCAGGGGAAAGTGGTTGACCCTTTCCCTCATTCCTCTAAAGGACTCCTACTGTGCTGTCAGTCCCTGCCAGAGGCAAAGTTTTAGTTAATTCCAGTCAAGGCCTGAGAAAAGGGGGGTGTGTGTGTGTGCTTCTACTCTGCTATGGGGAGGAAGAGGGATGGTCTCAGTTTCAGGAAAGCTTTGGGGCCTCACGTTGTAGGTGGAGGGAGACAGCAACCTAACAAGGGAAGACTCCAAAGGTCTGGGTCTGGCTCTTCTGCTCTTCTGCCCAGTGCATGCAGAGAGTTCTAGAAAAGGAGCTCTAAGGGGTGAAGGAGTAGTCTAGGGTTCCTGCAGGTTAAGTGGAACTGATCTCAAAAGGCAAGGGGAACAGCGGTTCCAATTGCTCACCAACATATTTACAGAGCTTGGGAGTGGGCTTGGCAGGAGTGGGATGCTCAGAGCTTGCAAGGGGGTGGGCTAGGCAGGAGTGGGTTGCTTCCTTCCCTTTCAGGATTCAGGACTCGCTTCTGGATGAGAGCCTGGGGGATCCCAAGAGCCCAGCGCTGTCCTCTGAACTGGAGGACACTGCCACCCTGTGGGCAATGGGAGAGTGACAGCAGTAGCTGGCCTGTTTGGACAGTTAGAACTCATTAGCTAGACATGTGGATACTTTGGAAACTTTATTGAGGACAAAAGTGGTCGGCTCCCAGTCCCATGGGCAGACCGACAATAAATAAGGGCTAAAAGGAAGAAGCACGGTAGGGCAGGAGTGGTTGTCTCATGATGGAGAGCCCCGGGGGGCAGAGCCAACTGGAATGAAACACTGGAGAGAGAGAAGACCTTGTCACAGCCCAGCCAGCCTTGCACTGTAGCCAAGCCTTCCTGCTGACCTCTCTGTGAAGGAGCCCAGGTGGCCCCCTGTCCCCGTTCCCCACCTCCCATCAGGCTCACTGTGCAGCCACAGCTGGGCTGTGGGTTGGAGTCTCACCAGGGCATCCTGCCATTCGAGTAATGTAGCCACAGGGTTGGTGCAGACCCGGGTGGGGCCTGAGGGAGGGGCTCGGCTGGTGTAAAAGGCACACTCATCGTCCAGACGAGCCTCATGGAAGCAGTGGATGGCGGTTAAACACGATTTGAGGCGCTCCCTCAGGGCTAGGGTTCGAGGGGCCAGACTGCTGAGGCCTGAGGGGCATGGAGAATTCAGAGGGCGGTCTGGAGTCCCATACTGCCACCATGTACTGTCCTTTCCTCCTCCCCCACCAACGGCCAAGCCAATTAGGAGCACAGGGCTGGAAGTGCAGCCCCTCCCCTCTTCCTGAGGGAGAGCCAGGCTGGGCCAGGGTGGAAGGTGTGGAAGCATGGGATTGCCTGGAGCAGGGGTGGGGCAGGGCAGGGGTGCAGCTCACAGTGAGTTGAGGACCTCTTGTGTTCACACTCCTTCCCAGCCAACTCCTTACCTGCCTGGCCTGCCGTTCTCAGAGACTGGAGTGAGCAGATAGGGGGGCTGGCACAAAGCGGGTGTTGGGAAGAGAAGATCAGGCTGGTGGTTGCTGGAGCCCACTGACTGCAGCAGGGTGGTAGGCTGGACTCTGGACTTCTATGTTCCAGGGTGCAGGGCTCTGATGCCCCCAGCTCTACCCTAGGGTAGGGCTCTGGGGGTCCAGACTGCCCCTGGGTGCTAGGCTGAAGGGGACTGGGTTCTGCTGGAGGGCAGGGCTCTGGTACCTCAAGCTGTTCCTGCTGAGAGGGCTCTGGTATCTCAGGCTCACTCCTACAGCAAGACTCTGGGGGCCTGGGTTCTGCTGGAGGGCAGGGCTCTGGTACCTCAAGCTGTTCCTGGCGGGAGGGCTCTGGTATCTCAGGCTTACTCCTACAGCAGGACTCTGGGGGCCTGGGTTCTGCTGGAGGGCAGGGGTCTGGTACCTCAAGCTGTTCCTGGGGGGAGGGCTCTGGTGTCTCAGGCTCACTCCTACAGACGGCCTCTGGCGGCCCAGGCTTCACTGGAGGGCAGGGCTGTGGTTCCCCGCACTCCTCTGGAAGGCAGGGCTTTGGCAGCCCTGAGCATTTTAACAATCCAGGAAGGTGGGAAGTCCCAGAGTTATGCTCTGTGGCATTCAGATTTCTAGAAATCTCAGTCAGCAGGGGCTGAAGTTCAACCATATCCAGAGAAGAGCCTCCATTAAGGGGGGCACACTGGCCCCCTACCAGCCCCTCTATCTCCTGTCTCAACAGCTGCTGCAGGATACCGATGCGCTGTGGTGGGAGAGAGCACCCCAGTGTGACATCAAGATGTGCATTCAGTAGTCTACTTACACTGTCCTATTCCTGACCCCCCATCTCTTTTCCTTCTTCCTCAGCCCCAGTCACTGTTCAATAGACATCAAAGCTGTTGCCCACACAGACTCACTTGAATCTTCACCTCCTGGAGGTTGGGGGTTCTGTTAGAGTGGGGTCCCGAAGGAGTGGCCACAGGTGGTTTCCCAGACCCCTCCAGTGACCTTATACAACTCTCCTGGTCAAACAACCGGACGGCAACCTGCTCCTGTCACCAAGGAACAAGGCACACAAGAAAGCCAGGATGGGGCAGGAGAAAGACCAGCCTGAGTCCCACCCTCATGAGGAATAGATTAAAGCCGCTGACTGAGAGGCCCTAGATGTACATTAGGAGGGGCAGCAGAGAAGCAGGGAGAGTTAGGCAGCTTTTCCAGAGAGCATTTTCTAATTTTTAAAATTTTTAGTAGAGACAGGGTCTCACTATGTTGCCCAGGCTGGTCTCAAAGATCTGGGCTCAAGCAATCCTCCCACCTCAGCCTCCCAAAGTGCTGGGATTACAGGTGTGAGCCATCATGCCTGGCCCAGAAAGCACATGTGTCTCAAACTCCTGGGCCTTCAGGCTGGCAGCACAGGGCAAGGAATCTCAGTAGGAGGAGCCTTCTGATACTTACCCAGGGCAGGGCAGGATCTTCAGAGCAGGACTGAGGGGAAACACCACTCAGCCACCGGGCCTGGCACAGAAGTGAGATGTCAGCAAGGCCTGACACCCACAGGTGGCACTCAACCTCCCCTTGCTTCTGTCTTCTCTCTCCTGTACCCATCCATCTCCTTTCTCCCCTAGCTGTGGCTTCTGCCAGCCACCTCCCCATGCCCTCTCTTACCTGCTGAACTCTGGGGGTTGATGGCATGGGCGTGAATCGGGTTTTAGGTTGAATGGTGAGACGCCGCCACACTGAATATGAGGTCTGGGGAGAGATGTGGGTGGCTTAGCAGACCTAGCAAGGATCTCTGGCCAGACTGTTCTGCCCCTGCCCAGCCCCCAGTTGTTGACACAAACCACAGTTGGAGGGCCTGGGGAGGGTACACGCTGAGCCCGTCCAAAGGGTGATGGACATGGCACCACATGGCCAGGCAAGGGCTGGGCCACAGGGGCAGGGGAGGGCATCAGGTGGGAGTCACGGCTGTCCTGTGAAGAAGAAAAGGGTGGAAGAGTGATCCCTGCCCCCTTTGTCTTCCTATATCTTGTTCTCACTACAGCAGCCAGCGTGATTCTTTTAAGACCTAAGTCAAGCCAGGCATGGTGGCTCAGGCCTGTAATCCCAGCACTTTGGGAGGCCAAGGAGAACAGAGCACCTGAGGTCGGGAGTTCGAGACCAGCCTGACCAACATGGAGAAACCCTGTCTCTACTAAAACTACAAAATTAGTCAGGTGTGGTGGTGCATGCCTGTAATCCCAGCTACTCAGGAGGCTGAGGCAGGAGAATCACTTGAACCTGGGAGGCGGTGGTTGTGATGAGCGGCGATCATGCCACTGCACTCCAGCCTGGGCAACAAGAGTGAAACTCCGTCTCAAAAAAAAAAAAAAAAAAAGATCTAAGTCAAATCATGTCACTTTCTTGATCAACCCTTCTCCCCATGGCTTCCCACTACTTCCAAGAAAAGCCAAGGACTTACACTGGTGTACAATTCCTTACCCAATCTGATCGTGTTATCACTAAAACCATATCTCCTACCGCTCTCCTTACTCTGCTTCAATCTCACTGGCCTCTCCTTTTTGCCGATCCTCAAATATGCCAGGCACATTCTCTCCCCAGGGCCTTTGCCTCTTCAGTTCTCTTGGCCTGGAACATTCCTTCCCCCAGATATCAACATATCTCACTCCTCCTCCAACCCCTGGTCTTCACTTAAACATCATCTTCTCAATAAGAGTTCCCTGACCAATCTATTTTAAATTGCAACACCAACTCCCCTGCTCCCAATTCCCCTTTAGTGCCCTATTATTTTTATTATTTTTTTATAGAGAACTTACAGTCATCTGAGACACTATTTTATATATGTGTTTATTTCTTGTCTCCCCCTTCTAGAATATGAACTTGTTTATTGCTGTATGTCCAGAGCCTAGAACACGGCCTGGCACTCAGTAGGCTGGTGCTACTCAGTAAATATTTGTGAAGTGAAGGGATGAATGCTTTTGGCTGACAAGTGGCAGATCTGTCTCACCCTTAGCACTGATCTGATGGTGATACAAATATGATCTCTCACCCCAGGCCCTAGACATTTGATAAAGAGAGGTCAGTTTCACATTGGAGAGGGACTGGGTGCATCTGGGGTAAACCTACCCAATAACATCCCGAGGCCCAAGACTGCCTGGCTCTACCTACAATTCTCAGTGTTGGCTGCTGCTGCGAAATTCTCCCAAGCATCTCCTGCACCTCCCACCCACCATCCCAGGAGAGTTGCATCTCACCCTGGTATGTGTCATTTCTCGGTTTTCTCTTAATGGTACTCGCTGGGCCAGACCAAGAGAGGCCACACTTCCTTCATCTGAGCGAGTGACAACCTCATGTTCTCCTTTAGGGAGAGAGAAAGCTAGGAAGAAACGGGACATTTGTTGTAGACTCTAGAACACCCACCGAAGTTTGGCACAGGGTTCTACAACTTCTGAAGAGGGTATATTAGTTTAATAGCCCCCATTGCACTATTAGGGACAGGAGCCCATCCAGCAGCCCCTCAACACCCAACACTATCTCAGTAAACACTTACTAATCTGAACGTCTGAGTAGGCTGGGGATGTGGTGATGGCACTTAGGGGCTGGGGATAAACAGTGAGTGGAAGATAAATCTTGCAGGAAGTGGCAGAGAGAGGGCCGAAATGAAGACCATCTCCTTTGACACAAGTGCAACTGTGCCAACCTCTGGCCTATCTAGAAAGTCTCTTCTTCTTCTCCTTCTGACCTAGCCTCCCAGCCTCCCACTTTCTCATGCTCCCTCCCAGCCTGCTGAGTTTTATCTGATCTTGTTCCCTGCTTCAGGCAGCCCAACTGCCCCTGTGCTCTCCCCACAGCCAGACACACTCACCAGGCTGGACTGGGGTCTCCAGGAGCAATCCTGAGGCCTGGCTCACTGAAGTCCTGATGACAATAAGGACAGTAGCCAGCAGTCACTGAGTAACAAGTATGAGCTGGACATGTGCTAAGTGCTTTACAAACATCATCTCATTTCATTCTCATGACAATTTCTAATGATGATACAAATGTTATTCTCACTTGACAAAGAAACCAAAGCTCAGAGAGGTGAAGGCAAGCTTGCACAACTGGTAAATGGTAAGAGTTAGGATATAAACCCAAATCCCATTTATTGCCACAGTCTATACTGTAGCCACTAAACAAAAGAGATAGCACATTTCTGTCCTCCCTGTCCCCCCATGACTTGAAGAAACTGATGTCACACTGAGGCCTGCCTGTGAAGGCCTGAACCCTATCCCAAGGGCTCATCCTGGGTAATCACAGGTTTCTTGCTTCCCCTTCAGAGTTGGTGGGGAGTCCTAAAGCTACTGGAAGGCCCCAACTCTGGGGGACTCCTGTATCAGACACTGGTTCATTCTTTTCCAGATGACCTTCTCCCACACCCTCTCCTTTCTCACCGGCTGCTGCCAGCTGTCTCCCTTCTTAGCTCCTGGAAACTGGGGCGAGTGGAAGGGTGAAAGGAAGGTCCTGAAGGTGAAATCTGATCCACAGGAGCAAGAGATGAAAACGGAATCAGAGGTGGACCCTAAACCCTCAGGCCTCACCACCAACCCCATCTCCCCCAATAGGATCCCTTGCCTCATCATGAGGTACTTCCTCTCCCAAAGGCCAGCTTTGTCCCTGGAAGGAGCTCCCAGAAGCACCAAGTATCAGGCCTCTCAAGGGCACTCACCAGAGCCTGTAGCCTCTGGGGGCACAAAGTCTGGCCTCGAGGTCCTGGTCCCTCCAGCCTTGAGAAGCAGGAAGCCCTGGCAGGGTCCAGTCGGTGAGTGGGAGTTCTGGGGGCCAAATATGCAGAGGCCCGAACACCCTGGGACACCAACAGAGGCTGTCAGCACAGCTCAGGATGCCCACCTCAGCGCCCCCAGCCTGGTCTCCTCACATCCTGTTTCATTACCTGGCCCCTCTGGGTGGTGCCTCCCTGACTTCCTCGAACCAGTACTCTCTTAGCAAGACTAGGCTGGCGCCCCAGGTGACAGCTCTTCACACCCTCACCTGACAGGATGGTGGCCAGGGCTGCAGGGTCAGCCACAAACTCTATGGTCCCTGGAGCCTCTGCAAGGAAAGAGAAGGAAACGTAAGAAGGAACAGGAAGGGAGAAAGCTGAGGGGGATAGGGACCCTAGCATAGTCACTTTGAGATACAAGGTGCGCAAAAGAGACTCATTCAATTGAATTTGGCTTTTTTTTTTTTTTTTTTTTTTTTTTAAGCAATAGATGGCTGGGCGTGGTGGCTCACACCTGTAATCCCAGCACTTTGGGAGGCCGAGGCGGGTGGATCACTTGTGGTCAGGAGTTTGAGACCAACCTGGCCAACATGGCAAAACCCTGTCTCTACTAAAAAAATACAAAAATTGGCTGGGCATGGTAGCTCACTCCTGTAATCCCAGCACTTTGGGAGGCTGAGACGGGCAGATCACCTGAGGTCAGGAGTTTGAGACCAGCCTGGTCAACATAGTGAAACCCCATCTCTACTAAAAAAAAAAAAAGAAAAAAAAATTAGCTGGGCATGGTGGCACACACCTGTAGTCCCAGCTACTCAGGAGGCTAAGGCTGGAGAATCATTTGAACCTGGGAGGTGGAGGCTGCAGTGAGCCAAGATCATGCCACTGGACTCCAGCCTGGTGACAGAGCGAGACTCTGTCTCATATAAATAAATAAATAAAGCAAACAAAAATTAGCCAGGTGTGGTGGCAGGTGTCCGTAATCCCAGGTACTTGGGGGAGGCTGAGTCATGAGAATTGCTTGAACCTCGGAGGTGGATATTGCAGTGAGTTGAGATCATGCCACTGTCGTCCAACCTGAGGGATACAGTAAGACTCTATCTCCAAAAAAAAAAAAAAGAAAGAAAGAAAAAAAAAAAGAAAAACTAAAAAGAAATGGGGTCTCACTATGTTGTCCAGGCTGGTCTCAAACTCCTGAGCTCAAGTGACCCTCCCGCCTCAGCCTCTCAAAGTGTTGGAATTACAAGCGTCAGCCACCACACCCGCCCACTAAATGTTCATAGAATGTTACATAAGACACTATTCTAAGCATTGGGGTCCCATAAGAATAAGACAAAGCCCCTATCCTCAAGAAGCTATCATCAAACTATAGACAGGTAACAGACTCAAGCCAAGGTATATACATGTTATAAAAGAAGTACTGCAAAGTATTAGGAGAACAAGTGACATGGGGAACTGGAAAACGCTTCAGAAGAAGTGACATTTATTATTTATTTATTTATTTTTTAAAGAGATAGGATCTCCCTCTGTCATCCAGGCTAGTCTCCAACTCCTGGCCTCCAGTGATCCTCCCGCTTTAGCCTCCTGAGTAGCTGTGATTACTGGTACAAGCCATGGCGCCTGGTGAGATGACATTTTGCTGGAGGAAAGGGAGATCTTCTAAGAGCAAAGAGCTTTCCAGGAGGTGGAACCAGGACTATCACAGTAAGCAGGAGACAGCAGGAGTGAGTGCAAAACCCCAAAACCCCACTTTTACCCTTCCTAGTTTCCTACTCGGCCATGGAGGCCGTGTTACCAGGGCTCCAACAGGTACCTGTCTGGGCAGGGGGCCCAGGCCCCACATTTTGACCCCTAGGGCTAGGCCTGAGCTCCTCCAAGGGGTTCCGAGGCTGAGGGATCCCCACCAATCTTTGTGATGTCTCTGCCTGGTGCTTGGCTTTGGGCCTAGGGCCTGCTGAATCAACGAGGGGGCGTTGAATATTGAGCGGTGGTTTCTGCAACCATCTCTAGGGGAGGGAGGGGGGACAAAAAGGTGAGGTTTAGTGTTGGGGTGCATTACTGGTGTGACTACTGTCTTCCCCCATTAGGCCGCTCTTACCCTTGGATCTTGGTTCTCCTGGTCCAGGGCGCACGATGTAACAGTGGGGAAAGGCGTGCGTTTCTGAGAGCGTACCGGAATCTTGCTAGGGGTAGGAGATACACCCCGGAGGAGGGGATCCCTCGTGGCTTGCCGGGTGGTCATGATGGCTACAGTTGAGACGGGGAAGAAGGCAGGTAGAATCGGAGATCAAAGATCAACCAGTTCTCGGGGCACCTGTCCTGCCATCCCTGATACCTCTGCCCTAATTCACGCGCCCACAAGCCCCCGGCGCCTGCAAGACCGCTTTTATGGGTGCTACCTCCAACACCCCGAGCCTACTCTTTCGCCCTCGGACCTCGAACTGCCCTCGTCCCTATGAGCCCAGCAGCCCTCGTTCCCTCCAAGACCCCCGTGCCTTACCTTACCGAGAGCCCCTCAGGGCCGACCCAGCTTTCTCCGCTTTTCGCCTGACTCTCTCGGATACGGCTGGAGCTACTTCCTCAGTTTGTAAAATACGCCAAGCTCCTGATTGGCCCGGCCGCGCTCCCGCGGAGGCCTGTGTAGCCAGACTCAGCCGTCCAATCCGCGGGCTTCACAGGAGGGGCCAAAAGAAGGACCAATTGTCGAACCGCTTTCTGGCTAGAAAAAAAAAAAAAAAAACTGACTCGGCTCAATCAGCCAATCCGAGAGTGGAGCGCCGCTGGAAGGCGGGGAAAGAGGAAGGATGGGGCAGTTCCGAGGCCTTTCCGAGGCCGGGGAAGGCGTAGCCATGGGAGCTCTCGCGAGGTCTCGGGACCGGCGAGGGGCTGGCCATTGGCAGAAAGGGGCCGTCGCGGCCCTGAGAGGACGGTTGCTTGTACTGATTGGTGCCAACGGTGTTGAAGGCTGGCCTGTACCCCCCACCCGGCTTGACCATAGCACTGCGCCAAGCTTTGGGGACGCCATTCCAGATACCCATAGAAAATATCTGCGTCCGGGCGCGGTGGCAGGCGCCTGTAATCCCGGCACTTTGGGACGCCGAGGCGGGAGGATCTCTTGAGCTATGAGTTTGAGACCAGCCTGGGCAACATAGCGAGACCACTCCCACCCCTGTCTCTACAAAATAATAAAATAATAATAATAATCCCTGTGCAGTGGTGCGCGCTTGTAGTCCCAGCTGCTCTGGAGGCTGAGGCAGGAGGATCGTTTTGAGCCCAGGAGGTTGAGGTTGTTTGAGTTGTGGTCACGCCACTGCACTCCAGCCTGAGCAACAGAGAGAGACCCTGTCTTAAGGATAAATACATAAATAAATAAAGAGGGAAAGAGAGAGAGAACATCTGCACGTTGTCTCCAAGATAAGGAACTGCCTTCAAACACGCAGAGGGCTGAAGGGAATCGAACTGAGCCTAACAATATGTGTGCTCCTTGGAGCCTCACAACCCAGTGAGGTGTCTGTCTGGTGAGATGTCTTTCATTTCACGATAGGTAACAAGACTCATTGTTTTTGAACTCAGTTACCACAGCACCAGAATTGAATGACTACTCACAGCTGGGCTTTCCTTGCCTCCAGGTTGCCTTTTGCAGATCTAGAGGTCTGGGGAGAGGGGGCTCACCTGCTGGTTATTGGTGGGCAGAGCTGTGAGACTGAGAGATCCTAGAATATCCTGCTTAAGATGGAAGGGGTAAACCCTAATGGGGGACAGGAAATGAACAACACTTTCCAGTTGACAGAACTCTGGTGAATTTTCCCCACCAATCACAGAAGTTATTCTTACACAAGTCAGAAACGAGGAGTTACTCCTTAAGTCCTCCCACTCCCTTTACATATCCCATCTCTCATTCACTCTCACTAATTTTACTATTTATGCATTTTTGAGACAGGGTCTCACTCTGTCGCCCAGGCTGGAGTGCAGTGGTGCGATCTCAGCTCACTGCAGCCTGGACCTCCTGAGTTCAAGGATCCTCCCACCTCAGCCTCTCAAGTAGCTGGGACTACAGGTGCCCCCTACCAGCTAATATTTGTGTTTTTTTGTAGAGACAGGATCTGGCTACATTGTCTAGCCTGGGGCTGCAGGTGTCCTTCCCAGCACTTTGGATGGCCCAGGCAGATCTCTTGAGGCCTGGAATTCCAGACCAGCCTAGACAATGTAGCAAGATCCTGTTTCTGTTAAAAAATAAAAAATAAAAAAATAAAGATATGTAAGGTATCTTTACTAATTGTATGTATCTTTAAAATTCCTCTACTTTCAGGCTGGGCACAGTGGCTCATGCCTGTAATCCCAGCACTTTGGGAGGCCAAGGCAGGTGGATCACCTGAGGTCGGGAGTTCAAGACCAGGCTGACCAACATGGAGAAACCCTTCTCTACTGACAACACAAAAATTAGCCGGGCTTGGTGGTGCATGCCTGTAATCCCAGCTACTCAGGAG